GGAGGGGGGGGGGGGGGGGGGAGGGGGCAGGACCTGGAGCCAGAGTTGTGTGGGTGAGCCAGGAGCAGGTAGCAGGGGCAGGGACTGGGAGGGCCCTCTTCAAGTGGGGGACTTACCATGTGTATGTGGCTGGCAAGGCTTGCAGCTTGGCGCTGGCCTCCCCATCGGCGATGGTAGCCAGCTGTACCCGGTATCCAAAACCTGTGGTGTGTGGCAGGTCAGTGCCCAGACAGGGCCACCCTCAGGGAGGAGCTGGTGCTGCTTCTGGCCAGTGGTGATGTTTCCGGCTGCTCCTTGTGGCAGGGTCTGAGGCTGTGTCGAGGACAAGGCAGCTACTGGCCAGGGCTCCCCAAGCTGGATGCAGCAGCCGGAGAAGAGGATGAGCTGGGGCACTGAAGGCCTGAGGGCCTCTCCTCCAGTGACGTTTCACTGGAGGGGTCAGGGCAAGGCAAGGGCTCAGCCAGGCTGCCCCTGCTGCCGATGCTTGCCTGGGTTCCAGGGCACCAAAATATGGGTCAGCTGGGTCAGCTCCCACATAAAGGCCATGGTTTTATGGGCATGACTGGACTGATGATTGTAGTTGGTCCCAGCCATCCACTGTGCCCACAAGACCCTGACCTTAACGTGGCACTGCTACACTGACTGGGAGTGCCCTCACTCATGTATACCTCCCAACAGAACCTCACAAATGTGGGCATTTGAGCACCTGGCCCCATGTGAATTGCCTCTGCACATCAGCATGGCTCCAGGACACCACAAGGTTGCCAACCTTCTCCTTGGTCTGGTTGGGGGCCCAGGCAGTTGGCATGGGCATGTGCACATGATCAGGGCCAGGGCTCGATGGAGAGGATGATGATGATGAGATCCTCATCCTGCATGCACTCTTTGGGCCCCTGCACTGCTGTGCCCATGTGGCCAGCCCTGGATAATGCTCAGGAGCACTCAGCAGAGAGCCACAGCCATGGACTTAGCACCGTGTGGCAGAGGCACTTCCCCACAGCATCTGCAAAGAAACACTGCTGGGGGTGAGCAGCAGCAAGGAGCAGGTGCTGGTCCTGTTGCCAGAGACAGCCAGCCTGCAGACCTTTGCAACACTCACCTATAGCCAAGAAGTAGCTCTGCAGAGGGGACAGACCAGGCAGAGGCAACCTGTGGCCTGTCCAGAAGGGCACACAAGGCCTGAGGGGCACCTGAAGATGGAACCGGCTCCCTTAGGCTCCATGGTGTGTGTTCCCCAAGGCACCAGGTGGGTGCAGGCTTTTAAACCTAGTAGCTAGGGTCTGCCAGAGAGCAGCCCAGCCCTGAAGCAGGAGAGGCGGCCAGCAAGGAGCCCTGGAGCTGGGCTCAGACCTTTCCCCTAGTGACTGAACTGATCTGGCACTAAACTTAGTAATGGGTCACATCTACATATGCATTACTGAGCATTAACTAATCATGCCTGCATTGGCAGGTACAAATTTATTGACCATTAGAAATGTTTACTGTGCGGTAAGGGTGTGCACATGTAGATGCGCGCCCATGCTGCATAGTAAAATTAGGTTAATGCACATCAATGTGTCTCATGTAGACATGGCTAGTGGTTCTCAACTCTTTGAGGCTCAAGGCACCCCTTGCAAAATGCTAGCTCTTAGCTTTCATTCTTTGTTTTGACTATGGAAAAGTAATAGAGCAATTCTTCTGTTGCAAAGAGCTCAAACACCACACTAGGTCAGAAGAGTTTTTGACATTACAGATTCCTATTTGAAATCTCTGGGTTTATCTTGTGAATCATGTGTAGTTGTTTGTGCATCCCACGACACCCTCAAAAGGATTTCACAGCACCCTGTTTGAGAATCACTGATCTGTCATACCGAGCTTGCCGAGACCTGATCTAGGAAGATGTCTAGCATTCTGAACTCCTATTCAAATCAACAAGAGATGAACTAACTTAGACCAGGTCCCTGAATGTATCTAAGGCATCTAATTCCCATGAGATCCTTTTGAGTATCTGGCCTTCAGCATTTCAGAAGACTCTGTGGTACTATGTCCATACAGAGAGGGTGCAGATCAATGTAACACTTAGACTGGCTTAGATACGGTTTAAACGTCAAGCAGATGTACAAGCCAGTTCAAAACAATTTAAATGGCCTGAACCATTTCAAAAGTAGACCTGGATAATTACGTATTATTGCAAACCATTTCTCCTTGAACCAGTTCAGTGTTATGTGCAGACACCAAGCTTTCAATAACTAATGTCTGGTTGGTCTTCCAAGCATCCTACACTGCATGATATCCAGGAATTGGAGAGTGAAATAGGAGAAAACGATATTTAAAAGGTATGAAGGAACCCCAGGAACCCAAAAGCTTGTGTCCAGGTAGCCCCTCTACCCTACATGCACACCTAAGCACTCCCAGTCATGGTACCACCATACAGATTTTGGTAAAGTGAAGGAAGGACTTTTTATTAAATTCAGTGGGTACATCTACACGAGATGTTTACTGTGGAGTTCCCTAATTACTCTGCAGTAAATGTCTCGGCATCTACATTTGCAGTCCTATGAGACCACAGGAAACTAATGAACTCCACAGCAGGGCAGTACTTCTATATTGTATTTTTTTGTGTGTGTGCAGCAACGCATGTGTAGACACTGAGCTGGCTGGCTGGGGCACGAGGATGCTTCAGGGCTAGCCACACATGAAGCACCTTCATGCCCCAGCCAGACCCTCTGCAGCACACTGAGCTGGGTTGGAGCAGTCCTGGGCTGGCAGGCTGACCCCTGCAGCCCCCTGCCAGTCGGGGCTGCTCTGACCCAGCTCAATGTGCTGCAATCTCAGGCACATGTGTAAATGCTGTATTGAGGAGCAATAAATTCCAGTGCATCGTGTTTTGGAGATTATTGTTGCACATTAATATGCATGTGCAAATGCTCCCAGTGTTAGTGAGAATGGGGAACAGAAAATCATTAATTGGGCTGGATATGCACTGCCATCTCCTGGTGTCAGTTTTTACAATACTGCAGTACCTAAAAGATGTCAGTTTTACTTAGAACCCTTTGCAGTTTACATATAGACACCTCTGACCTGGGACAATTGTGAACCAGTATCCAATCAGTGAAAATCTTGGAATGGTTCTAGTGTTATGTCTGTCTGCATCCAGAGACAAAGATCACACTGGAACTCACTAGCAAGGGTCAGCAACCTACTGCTGCTGGGCCAGATAAGGTCCATAAAGACGATAGATCTTGCCCAGGAAGGTCCAAATTGACTTAGAGTGGTACAGAGAATTAGGTTGCAGAGCTGCATCTAGCCACTCAACCACAGCACCTTCCTCTAGCTTTCCCTGCTCTCTTGGTGCCTTTGCTTTCCAGAGGAAAAGCCAAGTACTTTTAGAAATGGAAGCACAGACAGCTTAAGCTGTCTGGGCATGAAGCCTGTAGCACGGAGCTGGGTCTTAAGCTCTGGCCTCAGTGATAAAATGTTGCCATCTCTTGCACCAAGGGCACTGAGTACATAGGGGCCTGAGGGCTCTGGACCCCCTTGGGAAGATGACTGCCACCTGAAATGTGTAAAACTTTCTACACACTCATCTCCCCCCCCCCCCCCCCAGCAAAGATAAGAAGTCAGCGCCTATGCCCTGCACTAAAGAAGATGGAACTGAAATTGCTTAGATGTGACATTTTAATTAAAAGATGTCATATGAAACAGACATGGGTTTGCATTTGTGCAGTTATTTGGGCAATGATATATATAAAATTATAGCGTTGCAGTTTCAGGACAAGTTGCAGTTTCTACTCCTTATAATCTTTCTCTCCAATGCACCCTTTGGGTGACAGGCTTGTGCCATCCCCAACTTTGGGTGTATGTAACCATGAGATGTACTCATTCTTAGTTCGGGTCTTTCGAGAAGAAGCCCCACATTAGCAACCATGACAATATGACAGGCTTGAAATTTTTATGCTGTAGGGGAAAACAGATT